GGGGTTAGGGAGAAGGATGTATATAGATTTTAATAGATGATCTGTGTTCTTTGTTTGAAGTATTATAAGGCTGGATATATTATTCTCATCACCTCGTGGTTCAGGACCTGCAACGATATGAGTATTACATATAGCTTTGTCTTCATATGCATCGGGAGAATAAGTCTTTTTTTGTCACCACCAGACAGGAGAAAAGTACATAAACAGACATGGTATTAATTAGATCCACTTGGGGATTGCTTCCGCGGCCACCGATACCTCCATCAACTTGGATGCGCGGCCATGATCTATTCGGACCAACTCGACATCACTCAGGATATGTCTCCGACCCTCCAGATCTGCTGCTGCCACGGGATAGTTCCACGAGGAGGAGTAATCACCCCAGGTGTTTTGTCTGCTTCGTTTGCTATCGATATCGCGGCCGGAGCTAGTTCGGCTATGGCTGATGACATGTCGAACCGAGTGCACCACCAGTGATCGGATACAGGGAATTGAGGCGGTGGTGATCACTATGTAGCACTCCAGCAGGGCCCAGATCGTCAGTCGGTTGGTTGCGACTGTTCGGTCGCCGAGGTCGGAAAGGGAGGGGAGGTAGAGGGCTCGCATGATTGAAGCGACCATGGCGCTGTAGGGGTTAACTTGTATTCTCGGTAGTTTTGGAGCACTCACACTAGTCCCAGACTGAGTAGAATCATAAGGATTGCCTTGGTGCGTCGCCTAAGGTTCAAATTCCAAAAGGTATACACGGGGAATGTCGCGAGGTAGAGGTCGGTGGCGGTGTTTATACCTTGAACAGGTCAATCGCTAGTCTTTGTTTTCTTCGCTGAATGAGACTCACTGCATTGTACGTAGCTGTACGCAACGGTAATCTTTGGATCCCAGCATTGGGTCTGGACGGTGGGGTCCCAAAGAACACTGACATCTTTGCACTGGGCTAAGATAGTCACCGGACTGACATAGTTCGTAATTAACTGCAACGCGAAGATAAACCACAGGAGATGGCGTGTGATGTATTGTTGTTGGAAGATGGGCAATAAGTAAAGAACGAAAGCGACTCTTCCCGTCCCAGTACTAAGGATCGAGACACACTGGAAGATCGTGTAGATCTTCATGGCGAAGAGTCGGTCGGAAGGTTCAATGTCCATCACATGTTTCCCGTAGCCGTAGTAGATTGAGATGGTGATTAAGACGGACGACGCCAGGCCGAGCATCTAATAGTGTCAGTTGGTACACTGCCATTAGGACGACATACTCACCAAAGCAAAAATCATAGCTGCATCATCCCAGGCCACATTGCGCACCCGGCGCTTGGCAATGAGTCTCAACAAGACGATAAAGATCGCGAGTCCCGCCGCGATCCAGTTAATACCCAGAATGTAAGGGCCAGCATTGTAGGATGCCGCCATCCCTATGCCAATCCTAATCGGATTGGTGGCGTTTGGTGAGCTTGCAAGCGGCGGGTGATTCCACACGGGGTACCCATGCCTTTTATTTCACTGAATTTAAGGTTGTCGAATTTTCGGAGAGCTAGCCTAGGACAGCTTCAAGAACGGCCCGGATCAAGGTGCCGGAGTGGTTTCAAGAGATGTCGATCGCTGGTGAGCCTCCAGGCGGAGTTCGTCCGATTGAAGCTAAACCTGGATGGATGAAATGATCGACGGACTCTATCCCGTTGACAAAATGGAGGACATGCAGCTTGTTCCATTTGCTGGCATTTTCTTCCAAGTGTCATTGACATTACGACTGAAAGCTAAGAATTGGTTTTCAGCAATAACTGCATATCTGCACCAGTCAACAAATGGCCCGAACTCACAGCGAGAACGATAAAAGGGTGTGGGGCATTGTGTTCCGAGTGCAGTTTCATGTCTGTTTTAGAAGCTCCTGGTTCACGGGGATCGCCATAACATTTAGCCGCCGGGAATTGAGTTTAGGGCCGCCGAACCATGGAACCATCGGCCCTGAAGATTCATCCTTGTCTAGCTGTGTTTCCAGGCCATAAATAGCAACCCCTGTCGCAACTCGCAAGGTGCTTGTAGCTGCACGGTTCAAGAAAAGACCCGATTCATGGTCTCAAGTGGGACGTTAGTCTGCTTAAGGCAACTCCAGCCTGAAGGGTCCGACTCGCGTCGGGAACCAGCGGTATTGTGAGGAACTAGTCAGATCCGGTTTGTAGCTGTTGCTGCTGTATATAGCTGTCAGTCCGGTGCTTCGACAGGCTCCCAAACCGTCCAGATTTCGAATCCGCTCACCGGAGAGCTGAAACCCCAGCAGTCATCTCTAAGTAGAGTAGAGAGCCGCTGTCAGGGATCATCGTGAGTTGCAGTGGGAGACATGATGCAAAATCAGTATCAGTAGTGTATATATTTGCAATGTTCTCCTCGGAGTTGTCATTTGGAGATGGAACGCGAACATTTCAATGACAGGAGCAGAATTGCTTCGAGGTCAAAAGATCCTCACTATCAACGGATCCACGAAGCTCATGCGAAACAAAAAGAGTTGATGCTCCTTAGGTGGGTAGGAGAAACTGTTGCAGCTCGATGAAACACCCTCGTGGAAGGGGCCGGAAGAAGCAAGACCCGAGGAACAACGGCCCTGCATAACTATATGCAACCGGTACATGAAAGCTACTGTAATGCCCCACTTTTATGCTCACTAAGCACGTGACTACCATCTATACATCTAGCATGACAACAACAGATATCGTCAACATTCCATCCAACTTACGACTGCCCAGACTCTCAAGGGATCGAAAAGAATGAAAAAAGAATCCCCCCGCGCGGACTCGAACCGCGATCCTCCCCTAAGAATACTCCTAAGAATAAGTGGGGCACTCTGCCACTGAGCTACGGGGGGTGGTATACCAGAGATAGCTCAGGTTGAATGATATCGCGCGCAGAAGTCCTGTAGATAAGAAGGCAGCACTATAGATTGATGGAAGAAGAGTAGGGGGCGGTTCCTGTTGAGTATTGAGGTTGGTGGTGTATGTTATATTGGACTGCGAAGATTATATGAGCAGATCGCGAAAGGGGAAGACTGGGTTTCTGTACGACTTAACCGGGAGCCTTTTTGAGAAGAAAGCAGGCAAGAAAATGGATGAGTGATGTGCTTGTCAGATCATTGCCCGTGATCTGGCTAGAGACTGGTCCTCTGGCCTAGTGGTTTGTTGCTGTCAGTGCTGATCAGCAAGTCAGACTGGACTGGGTTAGTTGTCTAGAGGCTGCTATATCCGTTCTCCAGCGCCTGGATAGCGTATTCTTGACTGGGTGAGCCACCTTTCGGATACCCAGAAGCGATTGTGGCATGGGGTAAAGGCTAAAAAGTGGCACTATAACCTTAGTGTATCAGAAGATCTTGGACTGCTTGGATAATGAGTTTGGCAAGCCCTGATAATATACATAGCTTCCTGGTATGCAACGTTCAGATCCGGTCAAGAATTGAATGACCCGGATTAGTTCCAACCGGTCGCATAGGCAGATATATATATGTACATAGCTTTCCAAGGAATGCAATTTAATGCGTGCCATATATTCTCTGAATTCCTCATTGAGATACCGACATGCCGACCGCAAAACAAGCCCACGCAGCCAGGTCGACGGTCCAAGTCCGCACCCGGTGAATAGCCAGCCAACCCTCGAGATCCCGAGTCGACGAACCCTGAGACGCATCCTCTGTGATCGCCTGGATCTTCGGGGCAATGGCTGGCACAAAAAGCAGATGACTGGCGGCGAGCGCTGTGCCTGCGACATACCACGGCCAGGATGATGACTGGCGGTGGTGCGTCCGAATATTCCATCCTCCTCCTGTCAGGGTCAGCGTCAAAAGGCCCAAAACACGCACGAGGCCACGACGGAAGAAGACGCGAAAATAGGATGGCAAGAGTGCGTCGCTGCCGGGTCGATGGTCGGGATGAAGGAAGACATTGAGGAAGAAGTCCTGGTCGAATGCGAACCACAGGGTGCAGGTCGATGTGACAAGAGGGGCAGCGCGCAGGAGACTGCGGGGGTCGAAAATGAGTCCGGAGGCCATTGATGCGAGTAGATCAGTGAGTAGGCAGGGAATTAAGCAAGATTGCAACGGGGAAGCAGCGGATGCGGGGGATGGGCGATTGCCGTGGTGTTGGTCCCGTGACCCTCCACCACCCATCATCCCGGACTCGGATATATTTGGTGCACTCCTCTGCACTAGATCCCTTTTAAGGCCTGGCGGTCGGCTTCATCGACATTAAGACCTTTGGACAGAGCTTCAGGTCATCGACACCGAAATACTTCAAGGCCATAATCAATTTTCACTGCGCTAATCCAAAACAGATAGATCCATGTGATCCCTAAGATACAAGACGGGACTATTTTCTTATGCTTATTCGAGAGGTATAAGATACTAGGTCGTGACCTGTGGCTATGACCTACTCAGTCTCGCGCATAGCTCAAGGCATTCCGAAGCGTCTTAGTAAGCCTTATATAACGTGTTTTTATAAGTACCTATTCAAAGACTTTCTAAGAAGTTAAAAGGGCTTCCAAAGAGCCCCTTAAGGGTCTTGTTAAGCACTCCTAAATAGCTTTGTTAAATGCTCCCAAAGGACTCTGTCAAGCGCTTCTAAAGAACTCTGTTAAGTGTTTATAAAGATCTCCATCAAGTGCTTCTAAATGGCTCCGTCAAGTACTTCTAAAGGGCCCTATTAAGCACTTTTAAAGAGCCTTGTCAATAGTCTTGCTAAGCCTTTCAAAACATAGTACTTAATTCACACTTATAATCTAAATCTATGTAAGGATCTGGCTCAGACCTGTAATCTAAATATATGTTTTAGAAGGGTTCTAGCCAACCCCATCTCCCAGATCCCCCTTCTCTAAGAGGGCTGAAGTGGTGAGAAAAGGTAATATTCATTAAGTCACGATACTAGTAATGGGGAGAGCTAATCAGAAAGCTAGATTAATGATTCTTAGAGACTAATAAAAAGCCTTAGAGCTGTGAACTTCCCTTACCCTAGACCTGACCTAGTGTTTCTCAGCGCTCGCGCGCTTCGAAAACCAACAATCATCGAGAGACGCTATTCCGAACTGAAAGGATTCCATTGGGGCAACATAAGGTCTTCATGCAAGATAATACATAATATGCTAACACTAATTTAGTTTCCTGCCTGACTGTCTTCTGCATATAAGGGATCGAATATCCGCCGGAAATCACAACTGCAAATATAGTAGAACGAACCCGGTAGAATGGACTGTTTAATACCTCCCAGGGATATCTTGGTACCGTAACCACGGCTAGCATCCGAAGACGCTAGCAGACACCATGGCCCACAACCGCGACCATGCCGCTCGCACCCACATCAGTTACTTAACAATTGAACTACTGCCGTCTACCTCTTTCATCCACTGTGACTCACCTTCTTGACATATCGCCCAAAATGCTCGATCGAATTTCCAGCGAGATTCTTCTGCAAATCATACCTTTTCTTACCCCCTCTGACTATAATCGATGCGTTCTTGTCTGCAAGGACTGGTACACCGTGTTCATTCCATATCTATATCACCACGTCTCACTTCCGCTGAATGATTATTGTCATATTTCCTATCCTAGGGTTCCCAATTCCCTTGTTCCGGTGCGTCGCTTCGCCCAGGTGATAATCCAGAATCCCTCCCTTGCTCCCTTGGTTCGATCTTTAGAGCTCTATCCCAGCGACTGTCGGGGGAAATGGCTGCAATTACCCCCGTTGGCACCTGTGGCTGAAGAACAGTATCGACATTTCATGTTACCTCATGGGGAGACCAGGCTCAGACACCGCCGCAAATTCCATGCTTGGCGCAGAGACCTCAAGGAGGCATCGGAAAGACGGGAGGATCAGCGGGTGCTGTTCCATTATGAAGATGCCTGGCTAGCTTTGCTGCTCGTTCAGGTCCGGAACCTTGAGAAGCTCGGAATAGCCCTCCCGGAAGAGAGATGGATCCTAGGATTTTATGACGGACCAACCCCCCCAAAGAATTCACCGCACCTGGAGCAAGTGATTGAATGGGCGCGTCATCCCAAGTTGGGAGTCCTAACCCAACTCAAGCATATCTCCCTCAAGAACGGGCCTTGCCTCTGGGAGTGCGAGCACGCAGTGAACGCCGTCCCCCTGACCCGGCTGTTGCCCTTTCTTCGAATTCCTTCCTTGCGAAAGCTATACGTCAAGAACCCTTGTGATCGATCTCCACCTAGTGTATCCCAGGATCTCTCTACCATTCCACTGACTCACCTGGATTTTGAAGCTCCCGAAGAAGGATTGCCGAACCTCCCTCGTCTCCTCGAAAGGTGTACCGACCTACAGTCATTTACACTACAGCAGAATGGCTGGAGCGACAAATATAGTCATTGCTGGCAAGACCTACCTCGAGTGTATCGGTCTTTGCAAAGGTCGCGTTTCTCGATCCGCCATCTGAATGTGACCTTTCGTGATTGTTGCCTCTGGCAAGATCCGAAGACCCCCACGCCGGTCTTTTTCGGACCGCTTTCCGACTTCCCTCGCTTAGAATCCGTACATATCCGGTGGGGTAACTTATTGCCATTCCTTGAAAATAGGGCCCATACCCCTGTAACGCCTTTGTGGGAACTTCTCCCTTCCTCGCTCAGACACTTGTTCATCGATCATTGCCTGCTCGCTTGCTCGTCGGCACTGTACACCGAACTGAAAACCCTGCTAATACACTACCCCACTCACGTGCCCTTTTTACGGACGCTGTATCTACGATTAGCCAAGGAGCGAGAGGAGGCTGGATCTACCCCCAATGATCCATCCACTTGGAGACCAATATCACCCGACCCTACCACTCACGACCGACTGCATGCGTTACGGGAGGACTTTCGTGCATTGAGTATAGATTTCCGGATCTTCCAATCTGATGAGGATGTGAATTTCGGCCAAGAGTACTACATACGAAAGAAGTGGCCGTGGGGACAACATGGAAAGATTATGACTCTGTAAAGTCCGTCGGCAGGGATGGTCCCAGGTAGCGTGTAGTCAAACTTGATCATTCATTACTGCATATTGTCAACAGACAATGTAACCCAGATCAAAGGGCCATTCCTTCGCGTGGTCAAGAGATATCCCAACTTAAAGGGGTCTAACTGTACTAATAAATTCTCCTGACTAAAGCCAGGGCCAGGCCGTGCCTCCGATCATAGTACCGAAAACTACTATTACTCAACCACTTCTAACCCACCATTCATGACTGGTCACTACGAACAGAAAGAGACTTCCCATTGCAGGCAGACACATTACAGACATCCATCGCAGGTACCAGCAAAAGCAAGGCATGAGTCAGGGAGCACAGCTTCGAAAAGGGGCCTCCAAGTGCAGTGCACGGGCCGCATACTAGCACTATCCATGCAGAGCGCCAAGAGTCTGGCACGGGCTAAAAGACTTAGCGGAGCTTGTCTTCTCTTGGCTATTCCACCGGAAAAATACATGGCGAACCGTCCATTTATCATGCTGTGGAAATTGTGAAAGCTTGCACTGCACGTCCTCACACCCGCAGCGATAATACACAACCAATTTTAAATATTTGATTCTCAGACCCAATTGAGCTAACGTACAGGCCAATTAACAGCGGCACTACGCCGATCCGACGAGTCCCGAAGCCAGATTCTCACCCGAGACCCCTACCCTTATTTCCTAATCTCGCTAGTCTAGTCGCTACCCGTTGCGCTTCAACGAACTATTGAATCTAGCCGAGACCTCACGCCCCAAACGGGTGTTTGCGCCCGCAGAGCCCCAGTTCTGTAAATGGTGTCAGGGACTCCGGATAAATATTTATCTGTTCTGAACTTCTGGAGAGGAAGGGTGTTCACGGAGCAGATACACTAGGCTTAAAGGAGATGTCAAGAACCACGTAGACCAAAAGGAATATATCCCTTCTTAGCCTCGGGCGTAGAAGGTAGAAATATGGCATGTCTCAACAGGAGATTGTGTCCCGAGGCGAAGGCGGACTCTGACTGGTGGGTTATGACAGTTTTGTTCTATGGGAGATGTTTGGTTGTTGAGCCTGGAAGAGGTCTTACCTGGTTGTCTGGCTGAGTTGTGGCCCACTCGGTTACTCGGTGGCGTAGTGTTGCTCACGTATAAAGCAACACCTCTTCAAAGGCTCATCTTCTAGTCAGCTACGTTTAATATGTGGCTCAGTACTACGGCTGAGCGGACGGGAAGCTCTGTTGTCCATACCCGATGATTGTCTGCTGACTTGCTCTTCATGGGAACTCAGCTCGAAGGACCATGGACATGCAGCAGTACGTATGATATTCTTCCAAGCCTATTGAGCGTTGTGGATCTTTAACATGGATATAGAGTACAGAGCAAGGATCAAACCTGCAACAAGTCCGAGTCCACTGCCTGGAAAGAAGATGCCCAGGTTCCATCGTTGAGAGCTACTCGTCCCGGCAGTTCCCACCCAATTTCCGGCCCCAAAAGAAGCAATTCCTCCGCCACGGTCTGTACCTGCTTGTCCCCTCGGCCACTGACGCAAAGAACCACGTTCTTCCCCGGCCCCAGCTGCTTCGCCATGTGCATCGCGCCCCAGATTGCATGCGAGGATTCCAGCGCGGGGACGATCCCCTCCAGCTCGCTCATTCTCCGGAATCTTTCCAGGACCTGAGTCCCCGTAGCAGTTAGGAAGGTGGCACGACCCGAGTCTTTCCAGCTCGCCAGCTCCGGCGCTACTCCCGGATAGTTCATTCCCATGAAGAGCGACTGTGGCTTGCGAGTCTGACCGCCTTCATCCTGCAGAATGTAAGTCTTGCTGCCGTGGAGAACCCCGACAGAGCCACCAGATAAAGCTGCAGTCTCTGCCTCGCATTCGACACCGACCAGTTGGACTGATTTGTCCTCAACAAAGGAACTGAACATGCCCAGTGCATTTGAACCTCCACCGACACATGCCACGACTGCATCCGGCAGTTTGCCAGTTTGTTCTCGGAACTGGGCCTTGGTCTCCTTGCCGATCACCGATTGGAAGGTCTTGACGATGGTCGGAAGAGGATGCGGACCGACAGAGGACCCGATCACATAATAGCTCTTGTTGATATCAGCAATGCAGGCTCGGAAGGCCTCATCGATGGCGTCGCACATGCTCCCCGACCCCGATCGGACTGGCAGGACCGTTGTGCCCATTGCCCGCATCATGAATACATTCTCCGCTTCGTGCTGCATGTCGTGGAGACCCATATAAACGGTACATTTCATACCCAGCTTGGCACATACTGCGGCTGTGGCAAGGCCATGGTATCCCGCTCCGGTCTCCGCAATGATGTTGGTCTTTCCCAACCGACGGGCGAGGAGAATCTGTCCAAGTGCATTGTTGATATTGTGTGACCCAGTGTGGTTGAGGTCTTCCCGCTTCAGCCAGATCGTGGCCCCTCCCGCAAAGGCACTAAGGCGGGGGGCTTTATGCAGACCCGATGGGCGTCCCACATATGGGGAAAACGACTCGTACTCCTCCCAGAACTGTGGATCCTTTACTGCTTCCCTGAAACTAGTCTCCAGATCCGAGAGACATTTCACCATTGCTTCTGGGACGTATTGCCCGCCATAGGGGCCTGGAATATCTCGCTTCGTCACAGACGGTTTCCGGGGACATACAAAACGTGGCGTTGACTGCTCCGGGGAAGTCTTAGTAGCATCCCGCCCTAGGCTTATAGAGCCGTCATAATGATCCTTGACCCCTCGCATTCGCAAACAGAATTGCCTTGCTGCTTGTGGTCTTTTCCCTGGAGGGGCGCGGGCGAGGTCTTTGAGCAAGCAACTCCCGATGATCGCGCCATCGGCGATAGAGGTAATCTTGAGGAACTGATCGCGACTAGCTATCCCGAATCCAACGGCTACGCGAGGGTTACCCCCGAGCTTCTTTACCCTCCTAATCAGGTCTGGCAACTCGCTGTCCAATTCACTTCTCATGCCGGTGACACCCATACGAGAAACGAGATAGACAAATGTGTCCGCCATGCAACACAACATTTGGACCCGGTCATCTGGGGTACACGGCGCAATAATTGGAATATATGAGCAACTACAGATTCAAGTCAGCAATCCTGCCAGTGCTCGGAGCAGATCGGAACGGGTAGCTCACCCAGCACCAACACACAGATTCCGAAATCGTACCGCATCCTCTGCTGGTAGATCGACGACGAGGAAACCGTCAACTCCTGCCTTGCTGCAGTCGGCTACCAACCTCGCCTCTCCATAATGAAGGATCGGGTTATAATACCCGCTAAACAGGATGGGAATATGAAGACCTCTGCTCCGCGCCTCCTGGACCATGAGAGCAATTGAATGCACCATGACCCCATTCTTAAGTGCCGTCATTGAAGCCTGTTGCACCAACGTGCCATCAGCCATGGCATCGGTGAATGGTAGGCCCAGCTCAATGATGTCTGACCCACCGACACATCAGTAGGATCGGATAATATGGATCAATGATACGAACCTGCACCACCGGCCTGTAATCCAAGCATGATATCTGGGGTTTCCTCTGGCGTAGGGAAGCCAGCCGTGACAAAGGTTACCAACACTGGCCGGCCCTTTCTCTTGCTCTGAGCAAAGGTTTGTCGAATATGATCCATATTGGCATTCAATGATTTGCGGTTCCTTGCGGCTCTTACAAGGAAGATAATTCTTGTGAAAGAAGAGCGGACTCATGGCGTATTTAAAGAATTTGACGGAATGTGAAGCTCGATCTACTGCAGAACGAGAATATCGGGGAGAAGATCAACCTTGCTGTTGTGTGGTTCCCAACCATGGACCAGCACCGGTAGTGGGCGGCTGTTGAGTGGGAGCAGCCTTGCGGACCACGAGCCGGTGAATAATTGGGTGGCTTGTGGAGAGGGGAACTCCTACCACATGCATCATGCTGTCGCTTGCGGCGTCTTGTGGCATTTCTTGTGGTGGAACAGGCTCGGCCGGGCGCAATGCGGTCGGGGGATAGTTCGGGGGGCACACGGCCAGGACTGGGTTAGGCTTTGACCAGACCAGGCAGCTGGCCAGAAAGGGACTGGGTCAAGAGCCAGTTTCCTTGCTGATGGGATGAGGCTTGAATTATATTCTTGTGAGTTGGGGCAGGTTGAGGCGAACCTGACTTGGATGGAAACCCGTGGCGGATTGCAATATGGATGCATTTCCACATGCTAGAATGCGAGCGTTCGCAGGGCTAGTGGTGGCGATGGACTAGCAATGGCTGAGACTTGTGTAGATTATTCTCAAGAGATGGAGGAAATACAGAGATGGGGGAAAGGCAGGCGTGACTCGATCACATGACATTCAGCGGTCCTCCGCGTCGCTGGCATAGATCACCTTGGCTCCAATCTCACTCGCGGCCAAGTTTTTCAGAGTTCGCTCTCTCAATCTGTCCCCGAACCCCATCAACATGATCACAAACATAAACGCGAAGATAGAAAAGAACGCCATCATCCCATATACCCAGCCAAACCCCACGCGTGCAACCCACTGGTCGATAAAGAAGGGTATAGCCAGGCCCAAAGTGAGACGGTAGGCGCCCATGAATACTCCCACTTCGGTGGGTTGCGAGGCAACACACTCAATCATATATGTCACAGCGACCGGAACAGAACTCATCGAGGCAAAGGTGATGAGATAGGCACCCAGCGCGAGGACCATGTAGTGGAGATGGTACTGCAGGGCGGAGCCAACGATACCAAGACCGATGGGCAGGATTATGAGAGAGGGAATCCAGAGGGCGTGCAGACGACATTCCGGCTTCCAGACACCTTTTTGCCATCTGCGACAGACCCAGAGCGCGATGCGATCGTTGCAGAGATAGCCCCAGAGCTCAGCGGTGAGGAGACCAACCCAAAGGGAGAAAATGACTCGGGCACTTAGCGATATGATAGAATGGAGAGAGAGGGAACCTACAGAATGCATTCCTTTGGGGAGTGAATCCCCAGCCGCCTACAGACACGGGCTTTTCGAGCCAGACGGTTAGGAGGCTGTGGGTTGCGACAAACCATCCGAATGACGCCAGCTGGAAGATGCCGATCAGGAGACCCACGGGTGATAGGCCAATGCGAAATGGTAGGCAAGCGATACGCCCCTAGAATCATGTCAGCATTGGCGAGATACTAGGAGGGCTTCATACCAGTTCTGCACGGCTGATGCCGGTCTTGTGGGGGAGCAGGGTCGCCATCCGATTTGCCGAAAAGGTCGTGGGCTTCACCACTGGAAGTGTATGCCCGTCACGAGGATAATTGGTATCCTCCAGGAAAAGAAACGCTAGGCTTGATCAGACTAGTTCGCACTGCATGCCTGTGAATTACCTACCCAGGATCAAAACTAGCCCTTGCGCAATGACAATCCACCAGAACACCCACGGCCAGCGGGTGTGGTCGACGATGAAGCCGCCAAAAGTCGGACCAGCAACAGTACCGAACAAAAAGGACACATGGAAGATGGCATATGCCTTGCCGCGCTCGTGCAAAAAGAACATGTCGTATACGCCCCCCACCCCTACGATGGAGGGGACCGAGCCGAAAATTCCATCAAACAGGCGAGACGCAACGAAGCGCTCATAATCCCCTGACCCAGTCATACAAGCCGACCAAATGGCACAGGCCATGGCGAACAAGAGGCACCAAAAGATAATGGCACTACGACCAAAGGCCTGCGCCAGGGGATTGATCAACACGGGTCCGTAGGCGATACCAGCGATAGAAGCGGAGATGGTGTAGGTGATTTCGATCAGGGCCTTGTCCCAGGTTTTGGCCTGGTCTTTCATAGCCAGCTGGTTGGCCAAATCTAAAGCTGTGCCTGCAAATCCAGCCAGGCAGAGGATAGCCAGGTTCCTCCGCTTTCGTCCAGCCGTCCAGTTCTGCCGTCTTCAGTGCTAGGAACAATTTAGAAGTGCAGGGATACCAACGTACAAGTGGGTCTTCTGGATCCTGGGATGGCTGAGGGATCAGGACGATGCCATCGCGTGTTTGCTGTCCATCTCTCGGCAGGTCGAAAGATCTAACTGCCAGATCGTTCTTGACCTCCTCGACAGATGCTTGTCTTGTTGAGGCGCTCGCCATGTTGGAATTTCGATGAACGGCTTGGCTGACTCCTTTTCGGCAAGGATTCCGATCGTCTCAGGGAGTCACAGAAAGTAAAGATTCTGACCAGGGGTCGACCACGGATAACTAGTTATTTAGCTTACAAGATGATTCAGCCAGAGGGGCGGGTTAGAGTGGGACAGCTAATTCCTGCGACAGCCCGACTGCAGCGCTAGACCGGGGTGACCCATCCTCGTGCATCCGGCGGCTCCCTGTTTGTGCGACGGTCTCATGTGAGGCCAGGCCCGATGGTGTCCGGGGTACGGAGTACTTGCTACTGAGCTACAAAACCAGCACCAGTCTGCGCCAGCTATGCTCGTTGCAGATTATTGTTCACGATCCGCCATCATGGGGCTTACACTGACGGGCACATACAACACTCGACAGCTGCAAATCGTCGTCATCAATAGCATTCTAGTCGTGCTCTCCGTCACAGCGGTGTCTTTGCGAGTGTGGGCCCGAAGGCTGCAGGGCCTGGATCTTTTTGTGGAGGACTATCTGAGCATTTTTGCCTTAGTGAGAATCCCCTCCTTTATCGTTGACGCTGTACTGATCAACCAAGGCATTGTCTCTTGCTGTCAATGCGCTACTATTCCAAAGTATCCATTAATTCCACATTCTTCAAATAGACAATAGCTAACAGTCAAGAAGGTCTCCATGCTGGTGTGGGAGAGCATGTTGATTCCCTCTCGACCGCTACCGTGGAAGCCTACTCCTTGGTACCCACCCATTCTACTACAACGTAAAGGTCAGAGGAAACTAACAGCGAACAACAGAATCTTTACATCATGCAACTCTTCTGGAACACTTGCCTTCCGGTGATCAAGCTCTCCATCGTCCTCTTCTACCAGCGCATCTTTCCCGTGCGATCGATGATTATCGCCTGTCGGTCGGTCATGCTGTTTTTGGCGGCCTGGTACATCGCCTTCCAAACCACCGCCATCTTCCAATGCATTCCGATCCATCACGAATGGCAGAAGAAAACCACAGAGGGCAGGTGCATCGCATTCGTGCCGTTTGTCACGACATTAGCAGCGACCAACCTATGCACCGATGTTCTGCTTTTGGTTCTACCGACACGCCAGGTGTGGAAGCTCCAGATCCCATGGGGTCGAAAAGTCGGTCTCTCAGCCATATTCACACTAGGCATTATGTACGGCTCAACATCCTTCTCAGGAACGTAGCTAATTTATTCGCAGTGTCTGTGCGATCTCAATCGTCCGTCTGGAGAACCTCATCGCCATCAGCAATTCCGACATCACCTGTGACACCAACAGTTCCTTTTCTCCCCGAAGAATACTGATCGTCATATGGCAGGGTCGGATACCTACTCCCATTTGTGGACCGCGATCGAAAGTAGCCTCGGGGTGGTGGTATCTTGTCTTCCCAGCCTGATGCCAATCATCCGGCTTGTCAAGAGCAAGAGATCGCAGCAAGATGGAAAGCCCATTACTCACACAGGCCAAGGATCGTCGTATCCCAGTCATGTACGAGGGCCCTACGAGCTGGCCGAGGTGTCTAACAAGATTTCGACGGGTCAGCGCACACGGCTCCGCGCAGGGAGCAGCAACTCGGAACTAATCCGCAAGCCGGTCGGGGATATTGAGATAATCACCGAGATAGATCAACAAGTGGAGACCAGCAGTCGGACGTATTTCGATCCTTGAACATTGCCCGACGCTTGTTGCTCACCAATGAATCACTTTCAAGTCTCACTTAGCCCATATCCACCCTTGGTATGTGCCCTCCGTGGGCTACAGCGGCATCATTAGGGCTTTGTGCAATTCCCGCATATTATGGGAAATGAAGGACACGAGAAACAAAGAAACTGGAAGCAGGTGGGGACACACTAACAGGCGCCGTCTGATAAAGTCAAGGCATTATTGACTAGGGTCAGCATCCTGAGATGGGCTGGAAGGATGATAGGCCAACAACCGGGCTTCGAGTGACAAACCCCTGCTAGTGGCTGTGCTAGCGGCAGCTCCAGGCCCTCCGAACTAAGTGCCAACTGCTAGACTCCGACCATGAATCCCACAGGCATTGGCTATTCTAGGCCGCAGGGGAATCCACAACTTCGTTTCCTCGGGATAGCTTCCCATATTTCCCGATACTAAGCTTCTAGCCATCCCGCGAGGGGGCTCGGGGAGCGGCTCAGCCCGTCCGTCCCAGCGATTTGCCCAGACCACCATTCTGACAGCGGACAACCATCCGCGTCCCCGTAGGATTTAGCCGAACACGCTAAGGCCAGGCGTGCAGGGAGGAGGCAATACCTAGGGATGCCCCTCGCCAGCACATCCCGGCCATGACCGCACCACTCACAGACCGATCACACAAAACAATTTACCCTGATACCCCTGCGCAACAATCAACCAGGCACATCATGACTAGTCCTACCAATGGACAGCCTCTCCGAATTGCCATCATTGGTGGTGGTATCGCGGGTGTCACGCTACTCCTCGCCCTGCTGAAGCACACCTCACGCGAAACCATCTCGCCACACCTCTATGAAGCCACTCCCGAATTCTCCGAAATCGGCGCGGGTATTGCCTTTGGCTCCAACTCCATCCGCGCCATGGAGTTGATCGACCGCGACATGGCGGCTGCCTATAACAAACATGCGACGTTTCAACCGGACACAGGCGCCTTGGAAAAAAAGCTGTGGTCCAGCTACCGGATGGGAATGGACGGGCGGGGGGCGTCAAACACTCTCAAGGCGGGGGACTATCTCCACGAGGTACATGCCGCCGTGGCGAGGAGCAGTGTTCATCGCGCACGATTTCTCGAGGCGATGACGGCGTTGCTCCCGGCGGAGAATGAATGCGTGAGTTTCGGCAAGCGGTTGGTTTCGATCGACGAGGTGGAAGATGGCGTCACAGTGCACTTTGCAGATGGAACTTCCGTCGCTGCTGATGCAGTTATAGGCTGCGATGGGATCAAATCACGAGTACGGCAGATCCTCCTCGATGGGGAGGAAGCGGCCAATGCCATTTTCACCGGCAAATATGCTTATCGCGGGTTAATCCCGATGGATGAAGCCGTGCAGGCGCTGGGGGAATATACTGCGCGCAACAACCATTTCCACTGGGGCTACGACGGCCATCTTCTGACGTTCCCGATCGAACATGGCAAGACGATGAATGTGGTAGCCTTCCGGACGAAGCAGAATGGCGTCTGGGAACACGGATCGCAGTGGGTGCTACCGGGGAACAAGGAACAGATGTTGCAGGACTTTGAGGAATGGGGACAGGATGTCAAGGCGATTCTATCCTTGATGCGAAATGCAGATATTTGGGCCATGTTCGATCATCCTTCTGCGCGCACGTATCATCGAGGGGGGCGCATCTGTATTATGGGAGATGCAGCTCACGCGAGCACCCCTCACCAGGGGGCTGGTGCCGGAATGGCAGTGGAGGATGTCTATGTTTTGTCCCGACTGCTGGGGGAGGTCCACGAGCGAAGCCAATTGGAAAAGGCATTTGCGGCATATGATGCGGTGCGACGGCCCCGGACACAGAAGCTGGTACGCACGAGTCGGGATGCGGGACAGTTGTACCAATGCCAGAAGGAGGGGGTAAAGGATGATGTGGAGAAGATCCGGGCGAACCTGGATGAGCGGATGCGGTGGATCTGGGATTTGGACGTGGAGCAGCACTTGAAGGAGGCAATGAGTGTGTTTCGGCAGTGTGATATATGAATTCATCCTCAATTCCTGCCTACGCGCATTGCTTCCTGCTTTCTTTCTTCTGTTTTCAGGCAGTATTGACTCGGAAAACAGTAGAACATATGCTCTACCACCCTATTCAATGAGGCCGTCAAACCTCGCAGATGGCATCACAGAGCATCTCGGCAAGATTATATCCTATTGCCAGATCCATCCAGATTAGACTATTGTTCGGCCATCCCTTCTAGCTCATGGAATTATTATCCCCTTCCCAAAAACACAGCCAACAAAAATAAAAGCTCACCTATCCCATACATCAAGGATAATTTCAAAGGATCAATCAAAATGCCCCGCCACATGATGCGCAACGGCAGCCTCATCCCCCTGGAAGTCTCCACACACCGGACACGTCACGATGCCATACTCAAAGTCGGCATGATCCTGTCCTTCACCCTCACCACTACTCCCACCCTGCCTCCCTCTCCCTCTCCCCCTCTGCCTCCCCGCAGAATTAGTCACATATGCATCCAACCCAATGCTCTCCTCCGGCCCTCCCCCTTCTCCATCCTGCTCCACCCCCGCAAACCTGACTCTCCTCCCATCCCTCCTCCCTCTTCTCCCTCTCCCACTGCCTCCTTCCCCTTCAGCCCCACCATAACCACCCCCACCACCATCCCCGTTCTCCCCAGCACTCCCCACTCCCACCTCCAACCCCCCAACAAAAGAAGGAGGATTGGAAGAAAGAGATTGTACCCTCCCCACCCTCCCATCCCGTAACCGGACTTTAATCCCCCTCGGATGATTCCCCCTCGTCAAAACATCCGCCACGGTGCCCGTGACAGTCCGACCCGTGGGTTGATCTTTTTTCAGAACGATGTTCACACACGCGCCGGGGATGACTTCGGTGGTTGTGGGGGGCATTTTCCTTCTTCTTCTTCTTCCACCACCAGGTGGGATTTTGGGGGGTGGGTAGAGTTGGTTGTTTTGATGGGGGGTTGTGGTGGGGAGTATGGTATGTTTGAAAGCGTGGGGGATGAAATTATGGATTGTGGGTTGGGTGGGTGTTAGATTGATTGATAGATAGTATTGTGTATGGAGTAGGTTGGGTTGGATTGGGTTGGGTTGCATGGATGCGGGATGGAAATTGAAGGGTAGTGGGGCAGGATTTGCGGGTGGGATGGATGGATGGATGGATGGGAGTGGGGCCACGTGACTGTTTCTCAACCGGCTGTTTGCCCTGCATCTTATAGAGAGAAATGGATGGGTAGATGGAAGCTTAAAATGAGAGTGGAGAATTTTGGTATGTGCTACGGTGAGGAATATCAAATCAGAGAAGATTCATCGGGGATAAGTCTCAATCGATATGAATAGGTTGGTAGTTGCGTTGGGAGATATGTCATGTGATATGTCTGAGGGTATGCAAGCCCTGATCCAGCTTTCCCAAAGTAACAGAAGAGTGAATGTATCCTATTCACCAGGTCTATACGTTACTTCTCACAGTAAACTAACAGCAAGCACTTCCCCAGCCCCTTGGCAACGATCTACCCAATAATCACATCCAACTCCACCGACATCCCCTCCTCCCTCACGACCCTAACCCCCTCCCGAATCGCCCCATCCAACTCCCTCACACACCGCACTCTCGTGGTCCACAACCGCCCATTCGCCGCCGCCTTCGCGACGCCCCCATAATCCGGCCCATCCGTGACCAACGAGATCCCCAACTCCTCATTCGACCACCCCGCCGCCACGCCCCCCGGATGCACATCCACCAAACACTGCCTCGTGGCATTCCACCCGCCATTATTCAAGATCACCGTGAGAAACGGACATCCGTACCGATGACTCGCCCAGTAGACTGCCGTGGGGACGGAGAAGACGAAGCTGCCGTCGCTGGTGATGCTGCAGATGAAGGGGGGTTGCTGATGGTCAGATTTAGGGTTGGCGGTGGGTCGATCGGAGAGGTCGTAGCGTGCCGTGGCGAGTTTCACCCCGATACTGGCGCCGCCAGCCCAGCCGAGGCTGCTGCCGCCTTTGGTGAGGTGGGTACCGGGACGAGTCAGTTGTAGCTGCTCGGTCATGGCGACTTGGTGGGTGACGGAGTCGGTCACGTAGATGGTATCTGAAGGGACGAGGGCACGGATGCGGCTGCAGAGGTAGTCCACGGTGCAGGGTGCGTCGGGGGTGTCGAGGAGTTTAGTGGCGCGGGTGTGGATGAGGGATTGGCCTTCGGCGTGCGATGAGCGGAGGGCGTCGCGACGGGTGGTCCAGGTGGTTTGGAGGTCTGGGAGGCGGGGAGAGGAGGTGATGTATGTGTTCAGTTGGGTGAGTGCGGCGGCGGTGTCGGCGTGGAAGGTAGCCGTGGCACCGATGTCGAACATGTTCCTGCGTTCCTTCCGCGGGTCGAGATCGATGTGGTAGACTTCTGCGTCTGGGGAGGGGTGCACCCGGCGAGGGATCCAAGGGACGTCGGTGTCAAGCGCCAGGATCACGTCGGCAGATTGGATGGCCGGGGCGGCGCCAGTGCCTCGGGTGACGCAGGCTGGGTGCGTGGTGGGGAAGCAGACCTCGCGGAGTTCGGAGTCGAAGACGCGCAGACCGTGGATGGTGTCGGCGAGTTTGATGAGTTCGTTGACTGCGCGGTGGTTCCGACCGATATAGCCGGTGACGACGAGGGGGGCTTTTGCGTCGAGGAGGGCGTTGCCGATGACTTCGACGGCTTCATGCGGGAGAGAGCCGAGGATGCAGGATGGGATGGGTTTGGGACGAGGCTGTAGCGAGGGGACGGGGTTGGCGAGGATCTCGCGAGTGGCTGTGAGGTAGACGGGACCAGGGGAGCCGGTGGTGGCCATGAGGACGGCGCGATGCACGAGACTGCTGACGTTATGAGGGGATTTGATTTCCGCGCTGAAACGGCTGTAGGGAGCCACAATGGCGGCCTGGTCTCGGATATCTTGGTACCCCTGGACATGTTCGGAACGCGAACCCGGAGCCTCGCCATGTAGGGTTGATGGGGCGACACCGGCGAAGATCATGACCGGAGCACGGCCACTGGATGCATTGTGCAGACCCTGACCGAGCGCGGCGGTCCCCACGTCGACGTGGGCCAGCACACAGGCCGGTTTATGGCTGATGCAGGCATAGCCATCGGCAGCGGACATGGCCACGAACTGGGCGATCAGCGGGGATCGGATACCGGGCTGAGGGACATACCTCGTGCTGGAATAGGATCATCTTGGGGGACTGGCGAGTGGGGTCATTTTGACGACGGACATAGGCCTCGATGATGCTGGGATGGTCGGAGCCTAGGACGGTAAAGAGGTGGTCGACGCCAGCCTGTCATGGTGAGATGATGTTTGCAGAGGAGGATAGCCGGATAGATACCTCGGCCAGGGCCTCGAGAAAAGCATCTGCCACGGTAGGGGGTGCAGTTTACGTCAGACATTTTGTGATGGATGATGGTCAGGAAGTGTCAGGGGTCTGTTAGCCTCCTTTATGCGGTTGCTCGTGCATGATGTGGTCCCCTTTGTCGGCCGTTGACCGCGTCCAGATCAGCATCTAGTGAGTCGCGGGAGGCTAGAGGCAGGGACAGCCACTGAGATGTTGCCAAGGGCTGGCTAAGTACTAGGCTAAGGGCATCAGGATTCCGTTGGTGCAGTCTGCTGTTTGCCGACAAAAACGTGGCTCATCCGTTTGTAAGACCTCATTGTACACATTCCCTACTGATGTACTGGCCTATGGATGTTCCCTATGAATGGTTGGTAGCCTCCAGAGGCTATTCGATGGATTCCTTGATAGCCCCGGGACCACCCTACGAGACCTGCAACGAGCCCGGATACAGGAAAGATTCCGGGATTTGAGAAACCAACTCGACATGTATAAGAAATAACAGCCTATCCTTGATACCGGAGGCAGCGGGATCCTGAGGAATCGGGTATGGATTACAATGATATCATCAGGGGGGTGAATCATTCCTACATGGACAATACAGATCATGGAACCAGCGTTTTCCATCTAGTCCAAGAGATCTACATCAAGGCTACGATCGATGTTGGAAGCCTCGTTGAAAGTCTTGAGGAGACAGGGTGCAACAGCCTACGTGGCGCATGCAGTCCCTACCTACATATAAACTCCAGCAAGCCCGCCACGACGCCGTAGCATCTAAGGCATTAACGGTATAAGTTTGCCTATCACATCAAAGATTTCCACAACAACATCGAGGATACCATCAATGTCCGAGGCAACGCCACTATCCTAATATTCTACGGCATCTTGTTTCGGGGGCGGCGAGAGAAGGGTTTTCCCTCACTATATATATGTTAATTGGAAATGGTTCTCCCATTTTTTTCGGGGAGGTCAATGTCCGAGCATCCAACATTAACATGTGTGTGTACCCATCACCAGGCGCAGTTGCGCGACTTTAAGTGAGATCCTTCGGAGACGGGACAGACATTCAGCGCCTGATCGAAGCTGGAGTTACTACACGGATCTTGGAGCTTTCACGACGGGGTAATCATAACGACTCCAGCGAGTCAACGCTCTCTAGCGTACAGGGCAGGTCTGCTGTGTGCACAAAAATTGTGGAGAGAGCTATATATAGTTGATAGATGGGACTGTATACTGTCGTGAAAAGTTCTACTCCGACGACGACCCAGTGAGAAGGGCTTTTGGGAACGAGATTATGGGCATGAAACAATTGCCAGGGCTTTATGGAGGCAGTAGGTTTACCTGTCACTTTTGATTGTGCTATGGAGGACCAGAGTCAAATACCAGCCAGGAAGTTTCGTTACATCGAAATAGCTCTTCTTTGGTACCTGCTTTCTACTCTGTCTTGTTTTCAAGTTCGGTGTCGTAGTAGACTTTCTTTACATGCTCGAGGCGGAATATAGGCTTATTAAACATAAGACTTATATATTGGTAGTCAACAACGATTAGGACCTATTATTCCCAGCAAGAACATAGCATCCATGTCTTCCCACCAAATAGATCCTAAAACCGTAACAAGACTAGCTAAGGCAAGTTCAAAGCTATACACCAATCTCGCAACATCTGTAAAGAGATATCCCAGTATCAGAGTATATCGTAGTGATTCCGGTGCATGTTCTCATGCCTTTGATCATTTCAACTTTCACCTGAACGTATGCAAGTCCATTTGGTGTTCTCCGAGGGAGCTATCCGGATCCTTCCGAAAATGTGGAAATGTAGAGATGATTTAGACAAAATTCAAAAAAGATACCTCTTCTGAGCCACTAGGATCAAAACATGCACCCCAGCACCTATACCCCCAAGTGAGGAAGATTCATAAAAATGAAGATCGATGAGTCACGTCAAGCCATATTGTATCGCCTAACGGAGCCCGCTACGTCGAAAAAAAGGAAAAGATGACAAGAGTGGGATTCGAACCCACGCCATCAAACGATGATCAGGAAGCTGTGAAGCTGAATATTAAGGTGAACCTTAACCTGACGCCTTGGACCAACTCGGCCATCTTGCCGTGAGAGTTGTGAAGGTCTAAATGTGTACATGTGGCTCGGATCCCTTGGTACGGGGTCAGTGTCTTGAATACGTGGACATGTTCGGGGTTGAAGTACTGTACAACATCTAAATAGACAGGTTCTTATGATGAGAATGATTACTGTATCTATCTTCCTGCTAAAGAGGGATGTTAACTAGACGCTAGGACACGCATTTCTGTATCCAGAGGAAAAAAAAAAAAGGAGAGGATTCAGTAAGCTAAAATCAGGTGCATGTATGCCAGGCATTCTCACGAGCTGTGTGTTTAATGTATAACATGTCAGCTTTGTTCAAACTGAATTCGCTCGTTGAGGCATGTCACGACGTTGCCTCAACAACGTACTCCAAAAAAAATTAGGCTTCAAGTTCAAGGCATACAATTAGCATCATAGATTTTTGGGACATCTGAACTGAATATGAACCCTAGGCGAGCGTGTTAAAGTATGATACCTGGTGAAATCAGCCATGAAAGCACTCATAGAAGTCCATCAGGGCCCCTGATCGTGGCCTTGAAATACTTAGCCAGAATGAACCTATGGCTGACGGGCAGGATAGGAAGCTGCAGTCAAACCTGCACGATGCTCCGGAACAAAGAAAGTCTGGAATTTGATAGGCCTTATTACAGCAAATAGGTCGATTATCAAGAGATGCAGACAAAGAATAAGACAAGGCAGTTTATGGCGGATTCTAGATAAAAAAATCCTGCTTGCTTATATTCACAAAGACGGCTGTCCTTTTTGTCCTTGTCGCACTATAGCGGGAAATGCCGTTCTCAATAACTATATGTGTTGAATTGGAACACAGAGTGGGGGATTTTTTGAGGAGGCGCTACACGTACACCCGGCATTCTAGCTATTGTTAATATACTACAAGTAGATATAACTGAGCCATATTCTCAAGAACACTCTCTCTAGACAAACTCGATGTTCAGGAACTGAAAATTTGATAAGAAGGGAAGTTATCATGATTCACCTGAGCCTAGCCTTTGTTTAGACATAGGTAAATCTCAGCTTGCTGATTCGATATGGAATGAATATTGACGGAAGGTCATACCGACATCACACCCTTTGAGAGGACCTGCGAGACTTGTGGAGCCTACTCAAATCATACGATGATGAGATACCGACAGGAGATAGGACATGTCTATCTCAAACTCAGTGCAAAGGAGTCCAAAGAAAGCTCGGTAGTTCTACATCGTGGTATGCGATAGTACCGTTTATATCAAGGCCACGCGGAGCCGTTCATAGTAGGATTTCTTTGTACCGCGTAGAGCGCGAATGGTCTGATGGTATGTAAATCAGTGAATAGTACGCAGTGTTGATTATGACGAGATCGTGGACTCCGCCTATATCTCAAAGTTCGTTTCTGAATTCGTATATTAGGTGTTCCTTTAGATTAGCAATAGACGTTCAAGCGTCTACATAGTATCAGCCCCATTGAGAAAGATCGAGCACAGTAAATTAGCCGAAAGTATTACTGAAGGCCAGTTTTCAAGGCCTGCATCGAACTTTTGAGCCACAAGCCCAGTAATTTGGAAGCAACCCTTTTGTTCCTGTTAGGGTTCTGTTTCCCTCGTACTTTGAATTTGACAAGTCGTGCATGTAATCACAACAATGTCCATTCCTCATCCCGATCCTGGTTTCTAGTCCCGCCTTGCACCCGGCCTTGAACCTTTTTGTGAAATCTGGCTATGATAAAGTCCACTGCCCCGGGCGTCTTCCTCCACGCATCATAGGTATAAATCAGACTGCATTGCATCTCTTCGAGTGAACCCGGACTCTCCCTATCCGGTTTCCAGTCGAGAGGAATCTGCGGACTCACAAGAGCTCGCCAATAGTAACCATTCTTCAAGTGAACACTGGCATACAGCTTGTCTATCTGTAGTAGCAGCCTTTCGATCATATCCTGGCGCACTTTGTCATCGAACAGGAGCTCGCACTTTTCCGAGACGATGTGGCTTCGGGCGCATTTGTAGACTACCTCTGAGACTTTCGCGCGACATTCCGAGGCCAATGATTCCAAATGCTTGATGTCCAGGAGCACTTTGATTTTGAGAAGAGTAAGAATGATAGTGTGAGCGAGATCATGGACAAAGTCGACGGGTTCGAAAAAGTCTGATTTGTCGATTGTTTGACCCCGTAGTCGGGGACCGGCGTTGTCATTATCCCTACCCTCTCTCCCCATAGACCACCCTTTCATAAAGTCATAGCATTCCCGGTCCTGGCCCAGAAGTAACATCAGTACTGGTGCGAGCCTGCGCAACCCCAGAGGATCACGAGGCGACAGTCTCAAAAGAGCCAGCACCTGGGTCAATTGGACTTGGAGAGACTCCCGTGTCCAGATCTTTGATATCGCCTTCAGCAGGCCACAACGCGCTGCCAAGTAGGCTCGCTCATCGGCGCCTCTCTGCCAGTATATCCGCTTCCGGCGACGACCATCCCCATTGCGCCCGGAAGGATGCCTTTGGAGGTCCTCAGATGGACTCATGAAGTCCTCAAGAGTGAACGGTAGCCCGCATTCTTCCGACTCTATGTTAATTCGGTTTTCCAAGATTTTGGTGCAGGCTTGCTCATGTGCTCCCCTATCGGCAGCTTCGTGTTCCTGACTGCAGTAAGGCATGATCTGGCATTTGTTGCATTGGAAGAGATTGTTGTGTGAACCACAGACCCCGCAGCCCGAAGGGAGCTTAGTTGAGTCCATCCTGCGATAGCCTTGGAATCGACATTAGCAGATGAGAATAACGTAGAAAGGCAGCCAGGAGACCCACTTGGTGAGCAAATAAATGCAAGATCGTTGGACGGTGAACGACAAAACTGGTCAGTTAGCGGGCTGCTTATATGTTCGGTGTCAATACCACTGATTTCTAGGCTATAGCCTGGAAAGCTGGCTCGGAAGGCTGAGACTCGGCTGTAATAAGGCATAATCCGGCGACAAAGGGCACATGGATAGTAGCTGCCATCTTGCGCCCGGATTGGAGGAATCTAGTTGAGTCACAGGATCAGGCAAGTTCTCGTGGCCCATGTCAAATTTATCCACGGCAACCTCCCTGCTCGCAGATAACTCCTAATGGGGATTGCCAGGATGGTGGCATGTTCTGTTGGTTGAGCCGTTCAGTCAGACCCATTAAGGCCAGCTTCAGGTAGATTCCGATGGTCAGGACATAACAAAGCATCGGGGTGCATATAGGTGACTAATATAGTTATTTGATGATGGAGATCTCCGCGACCTTTCAAAGCAAGAAATTCTTCACAGGATAGCATTATTTAACCAGCAGAGTTCCTTCCCTCATTGCAGTAGGTGCCTGAGGGATAATCTCCTGCCTGAGGCCAAATAATTTTCTTCCTCGGAAGTACATGTCCCTGTTGACTCACACGCTGTCATCCAAAACCGAGTTAATGAGTCAGTCTTCGGGCAAAGCAATGGATGATTTCGTAAAAGCGTAAGTCAACCGGATCTGCAACTGGGGGTTATGCAGATGGGTGGCTATTCACATCAGGTAGGCCCCTAATTGTTGTATATTGTCAAAACCACTACCACGTAGACCAAAAATATACATTCCTCCTAGAAACTGATGTAAAGGATATAATGTCCCAACTTATATTGCCTTTGGTGGCAATGTTTCGGAAGATGACAGTCTCAACGGCCCAGAATCATACACCCATCTCTTTCAGCATCATGGCACGTGACGCAATCATATCGACACCAACTACTGCGTACCATCGACGCAGGCATTTAGGAGGTAGATCTGACGACATGACTCACAGGGCCTAATCAGTCGAATACATCATACCGCTTCTTATAGTTATTTGTGCTACTCGTGTGGCGATCCCTGGAAGTATCCAACTAATTTATCGCTCCCCTCCGAAGCCAGCCTTGCTATATTTATCGCGTCAGGCACTTGCAGAAGGAAATTGCCTACCCTGAGCCGGAAGTTGTAAACTGGCTATCCATACGCCTCTATGACAGCATCATATAATCTCGCTGAAGGCCCGTGCAAGTCCTTGCCTTGCCAGGTGCATTTTGTCCCATTTCTACCAATCACCACGACTAACTCACCTTATACCACCAACGCCGCATCCAACTTCACCCACATCATGGAGCTAGACCCCACCGACTCCCTTCAGCGGCACATTATCGCCAGTCGGAGCATCCTAATCGAGTGCTCCCGCAATTACGTGCTAAAGAATGAGCACCAGCGCAAGATTGACGCATGGAAAAACACCCTCGACGCATGGCCCGCACCATTGAATGCAGACAATCTTGGCCATGCGCTAACTTCACGCCATATCCACTCCGTCCTCAGCTGTGTTTCGCGTCATCTCAGCACCATGCCAAAGGCAGCTGCGACGGAGCTTTTCTCCGCTTGGATGGAAGATAACACAATGAGGGTTTTGATGGACGAGGTGGAAAGGATCATCAAGACAACTAAGGTGTCGGAAAGGCAGGCAGGTGTGTCTGATACTAAGTTCTTGGAGAAGGAGAATCAAGACCCTGCTTTGGGATGGCATTAGACTGTTAGTTTCGGGAGAGTGGGCTGAGGACTTGGTGAGCTGATTATAGCTTGGTTGAGGCTGGGCTATTGTGTATTTTTGGGTATTTTGGAAAGTGGATCCTGGCTGAAGGCGCAAATGTCGGTAGTTGATTGATACAGGCTTCAATATCTGGTATTGAGCTTTATGTTAGGTATCGATTTCAATAGTTTAGGAGTTGGGAGAACGAACAAGTAACGGTATACCGTCTTGTTATTCTGTCTTAATGCATATAGTTCTCTGCAAGTACATGTCCGGGTAATTACCAACTGATATCAGATTTCTTTGATTTCTTTCAGATACATAGGTTTGCTTCATAAGAATAATACTAGGAGTCCATACTCTCTTTCAAAACCTTGGCCTCGATAAACTGAATCGCCCCTGGTGTCTCAGCCCACGAGCTGGTATTCTCAACCATAATGCACCGAAATGGCCACTCGTCATATTTCCAGAGATAAACCTCATCTGCGTCCCACCCCACAAGAAATCGCCAGAGATTCTTATGTACCCCCTTGACCCTTTGGTATAGGTCCTCGATTTGTCTATCCAATTCGTTGATCATTTGCCGACGAGCCCTGATCCTCACGAACTTTTCATTTCCGCAAAGAATCGGGCTGAGAGGTACAAACGACTGAATGATCAAGAGGATCTCAGCAGGAACTCTGCGACCCACAATAGCTGCACACTCGTCCATTTTCCTCAAATCAAGCAGCAGCTTCACCTTGAGGAGGGTGAGTGCGACCATATGGCTAATATCCAGAAATTCATGATTCGTATAGTCGAATGGCTCCAACGCATTCTCGGTCTTGGAATACTGAAGCCAAAAGCGATGGCAGCAGCGGCGGCCTTTCCTACACCAGTCTTGCTGCAGATCCGCAGCGTGTTTCACAAAGCCGTAACAGTCTTCATCTTTACCCAGTCGCAGCATCAGTGCTGGAACGTTTTGCGCTACGCGAGAGTGCTTAGACTGAGCCAAATAGGTGCAGTTGCCCAAGATATCAAAACTGTGAAGAAGCTGAGCCGTAACGGACTCCACATGATGGAGATCCGCAAGTACATCCATCATTGCAAGGGGTGGTGGGATTCCATCGCTATGATCGTCCTCGTCAGAGCCACTGTCATCAGAATCAGACTCTTCTTCCTCGGACCCCTCGCTGGGGTCAGCATCATCCTCGAAAGACCAATAGTAGTCCCTGTAAAAGCTGATGCGATGACAGACGGATCCATGGGAGGGGTGGTCCAAGATCCTGTGTTCCGGACTGCAGTATGGCATCACATTGCACTTGGGGCATACTTGATGGGCGTCTTTCTTGCCGCAGATCCCACAACCGGACGGGAGCGTCTGGGATGTCATGTCGTGCTACGATGGCGATATGATGACCGTCTAGATCAGTGCTAAAGGATAGGAGATATTTGAATGTTGTGTTCCGAGCACGCGTGAAGCTCAATACCATAGGATGAGATATATAGCGCTTTCGGACAGGAAGGCACTGCCTATTTATGCCCAGATCACAACATTCAAATGGCAGGTAGCTAGCACCTTTATATATCTGGTAGTGAAACACTCCATCTTTTTTCCGTCTAAAGTATGCTGGAGTCGGGGAACTCCAAACGGAGTGTCGAAACTGGGCTCTAAACAAGCTGAAAAGGAGAATGTAGTTTGGGTTGTCTCCTGATTATGAATGAGGGGGATAGATCCCAGTCTTCGTCTTCAAATTCAGTCACTCATGTGATTTAATAGTCGTTCAATATAGTGGTACCTACCGCATTGGTAAAAATATATCGGACTTTACTCATGTGAAAATGCGTCGAGATCGACATTACGACAAAGAAAACCGACCATTCATGGACACAATAGCCGAATGACAATCAATACCTTCAGCAGCAGAACAAAGTCTTCCGCGATACTATTTCTGGTCCTTGTCCCAACTATCGGCATCTTGATCACTCCGCCGAACCCGGCGGGTCGATCTCGGCGGAAGCCCCCGACATCTCTCAGAAGCCTTGTCAACCCCGCGTCAAAGTTAGACCAAACCATCCACCACCATGGCCGCTAAGTTTGCTATCAAATCCCTGGACCACTTGGTCCTCACGGTCCGCTCTATTCCTGCGTCTATTGCATTCTACACGGGCCATCTGGGGATGAAACATGAGGTTTTCACTTCCCCCAGTAGCCCGGATATTCAACGGTAATGCGGGGTAAACACACTGTTTCATACAAAATGTACTAACATTACCTTCAGCCATGCGCTGCTCTTTGGTTCCCAGAAGATCAACCTGCATCAAAGTGGCAAGGAATTCGTACCCAAGGCTCAAACTGTCATGCCGGGAAGTGCGGATTTGTGCTTTCTGACGGAGTCTCGAGTGGAGGACGTCCTCAGTGCTTTTCGGGAGGCCAAAATTGAGGTTCTGGAAGGCGGCAAGGTGGTTGAGCGCACCGGTGCCGTTGGGATGATCCGAAGTGTTTACGTGCGGGATCCTGATGGCAATTTGATTGAGTTCGTATCTTTCCTTTGTGTCTATGAAGTGGTACTGATCATGGCAGGGTCTCGAACTACTGTTGATCTGGTACTACATTTATATGTCACCGCGAAATGCAATACTTGCCATCTACATATTTCCAGTTGAAGAAATATATTGCCCGAATTCGGTGTAGTGACTTCATCAGAAGTATGTATGACTGGCTCATCTCCTGCCTAGAATCTATCTTCACTGCCGCTGCTATATACGGCTGCGGTCATTTCCTATCATATACCGCTACGCTCATATTTGCCCGTATAGACTCAGCTGTCTCCTACCGAGACATAAGCTCGACGTGCTTAGACAAGAATAAGCCGCAGGAAAAGAGAACACATATGCTGTGATCACCTGACCATTTGATGCCGATACTGAGGGCATGGTTTAACAGTGAATTTCAGTGTATATATTGCATGTTAGTTATGCGGCACATGCTTAGTCATCTATACAAGCACTAAATTGCGGGATGTGAATTTCGACCTTTTGACATTTTTTCAGCTATTTTCGCACGACACTCCCACCAGGCCGATAATCGCTCAAACCCCATGAATGACTAGATCAGCTATACATGATATCGTGAATCCCATTAGTCCCTCTACCCCTCATTTCTTAGGCACCTCCACAAAGTTAGGAAAGCAGTCCTGCAGGGTCTTGTTGTGCTTGTTGGCAGCATGTTCCGTCAAGGCAGGGGCCCGGGTGGTCTTGAGGAAAGTCGACCGGCACACCTGGCACATGATATCCTTGGCCGCTTCGTTCTGTAGTTGCAGTAAGCATGAGGGCCATTCCATCACCCCTCTGATCGATCGTCCATCCCCAGAACACAAAGTAACACCACCCTACAAATGCCTCATCCAAATCTATTAAACACACAAGAAATACATACGCTCTTCAACTGCGACTTGCCAACACTCTTGGTGTCTTTGGCGTTACGCTCACGCTTGGTGGCGGCTTTGGCTCCCTATGTGATGGTTCATGTAAGTCTTGCAGATGACGCGGTAATCAAGTCGCTAGTCGCTTCACTCGACGAGGAAGGATTCGCGGAGAAGTCGGCGAGTGGCTTACGTTTCCCATGGTGGTGGTGGTGGTTAGTAGTAATCTGGTGTAGATCAAATGGTAGAGATCGAGGTGATGTGGGGAAGATTTTTCGGGGAGAAGAGGTTTTGCGCTTAGTTTGACAGGGGGTTTTATATCGTTTGTTCTTTGCCTGATTGTCGGCCTAGTTGGGCTTGGTCTGGACCGTCGCGGAGGGGCTGTTTGCTTGGTTTGCAGGGCTTTCTTGGTGCCTTAGGCAGGGTGTCTTTGATTGTGCTGTCAGGTGATTAGGCACGTGGTTTACTGCATCCTGTCACTCGTGTTGTTTTACTCCGCACTCCAATCATCTGGGAGGTTACGCTGTCATTCATATCTATGGATGATGCTGTAATTTGATAGACTACTCTCGTTTAATGGCCGTGCGGTCCATCAGAGCAGTATCATTGATGTTTCTGGCATCAAATTCGGAAAATGAGATAGATGACTTCTGCCTAAGTAGTCTCGGATTCTCCATCTCCGACATAGGATTGCCTCGGCACTCGTCTACATCAGGCGGTGGTCATGACAGGCATCCACCGATCATGTCAGACCAAGCAAGCTTTGCTAAGCCATGCGACAAAACTAGCGGCATACTAGCCGTGATAAGGACAAGCCGGACGGCCAATGCGCGGTGCCCATCGATAGTGGCAGGGCCCGGTCCATCTCCGCGCCCCGTGGGTGCCAATGATAACATCCAGCACCAATAAATCCCGCAGTTCAAGGGGCTGAGACGGGCGGTTATTAACCTAGGTTCCCCTCAACCGGGCTGCTGAACTTCAATCAACATCAGCCGCCATGTTGCCCACCACTGATGACATCGCCAAATTTATCTCTGTCGCCCCTGATGCGAATGAGGGGAAGGCTCTGATCTTCCTGCAGGCAGGTCACTGATAGAGATACTGGCAGGGATGTTGACTGATGTGCATTGCAGTGGGCGAATTCCTTGGACGAAGCCCTCAGTTTGTTCTTTGAGGACCCTGACCAATACTCGCAGCCTCCCCCCAACAAAGACAATCCCCGAAGCCAACCTAACGGGGCAGACACGCAGGGACTCCCGCCTTCGTATGAGTCGCATAGGAACCCCGTGAGCAGACCGCAGCGCGGGTCTCACACGAATGTGGTCATTCAGGCGGCGGAGGTTCGCGCTCGGGATGAGGTATGCTTCACGACCATATCGTGTCATTACCTAACGTTGCGTCTAGCAAGAGATGCAGAATATGCTCCAGAATATACAGCGGGTTTATCAGATATACAATAGCGACATTGAGCCCGAGCACGAGGACGGCGACTATGTGACTTGTAACTGCGAGGCTCATCAATACCGAAGGAGGAAAGCAAAGCGAACTGGTGTCCAGGAAATGTGGTCCAAGGCTGTCATGTATCCGGGTTCGTCCATCTTCTAAGTTTCAACCAAAGGAAGCTAATCTTGAGAAGGCGAAAAGGCATACCATGATTGCTATCAGAACTCGGTGTTTACCAATAATCCGTATAGACGGCTCCCCACACCCTTCGGCATTTCCAACTATGTGATGCGGAGGCCTGATCCATTCCGCTATACTGCCTCGGTTCGCCAAACTCTCTCGTTGAATGCAACACTCAACATGAGGGCGCAGACGGCCGTCAATTCTATGGAGCCACAGTGCAACATCTGGGAGATGGACGACCCAGCTGTGGCAGATCAGGGGACATCCTCGGTCGAAAAGACAGGCAGCGTGGAAACAGGCAAACACTCGAAGCTGTCGAGTTTTAAAAAGGCTCTCTCTATGCGGTCTGCCGAGAAGGCGGCTGCCAAGGCAGATAAACTGACTGCGCGCGCTTGGGAGCTACGAAACGCGATATTAAGGGAGGAAAATGGCCGATGGCCAGATTGGGAGATGCGAGAGATCGTCACAATCTATCAGGACAGGGTTGGAATGACTCAAAAGATCGCCGAGCTTCGAACTCAGTATCCCCTGGAGTATCTTCATCTTCTCCGCGCAGGATACTTTGAACCAATACCGGTGGACTGGGCGACCCGCATCTCCAACCCGCTCAAGTTTCGGATCGATGCGCCCGCGGGGTGGCGAGGAATTACGCCGACCTGGCGAGGGTACGAAAACACGGCCGAGGAGCGTCTGTACTGGGTCTTGAACCACAGGGTAGGTAGTAAGGGGGCATGGATGAAGCCGGACTTTATTTCTGCCATGGATATGGCCCGTCGTCGGATGGCCACCGCCGTTGAGCCCCCTCCTGCATATTACTCTCCGGACGACACGTTCCGTCTTCAGGATGCATCCGAGGAGTACTCCAGACAGGTCATGCCAGCCCCTTTCCGAGCTTTCGATCTCCCGGAAACCGCTGCAGATAACACAATGATTTTGCTGGATGTTTCTGGCTCAATGGAGTTTGACCCACTTCGACCCGTGTACAAGGAGTATCTCATTACCGGATTTACCAGCTCCACCCAGCCAAAGAATAAGGGTAAGACATACCCCCTGATCAGTTGCAGAGCCATCTGACTAGCATTAGATGTCGCAAAAGCCATCATTCGACGCTTCACGGATGCCATGTCCAACCACGACCACAACACTCATGGCTACCAGCTCGTGACATTTGCCAGCAAGGCCAGCAACATCGGACTCATCAACCATGCCAATCTGGATGACATGTGGAACAACGTCAAATTCGGGGGTGGGACTCGCGTGATGATCGGCTGGCAGAAAATCAAGGACCTCCATTTTCAACGATACTCCGAGTCCGCAACCTATCACCCAGTCTACGGATGGCAAGCGGGTCCACAAACACCGATACTGAGATTGCTGCTTTTGCTCGATGGCGAAGCCACGGATATGGACGAGTTTGAATTGGATCTGCTCGGGCTGTCCTGGGTTCATGTCACCATCTTTCTGATTGGGGTGGATGGATGTCCGCACCATCATCGTCATGCCAATGAGCTGCAAAGAATCAGCCAGGCTAACCCGCATGTGTCGTTTGTGGAGGCGCAGGGGAATACGCCGGAGCGGTATGTTACTCACGAGCTGCTGAAGCGACATCTGGGGTATGATGTGTCGATGTCGGAGTTTGAGCGACTGGAGCAGTTTCCCGCGAGTGCCGAGCCGCCTTTGTATGAGGAGTGATACTTTTTACTTGCTATCTCAGGTGCCTGCGAGTGCAACACTCATTGACTGTTTGCTGGTTGATTGCGTAACTGCAGGTGTATTTCTGTTTCTTACATATACTCTATTTTATACCACGATCAATGTTAATGTTATGCAGTAGCTAACGCCATGTAAATGATGCTCTATCAGGAATGATAAGACACCGCGCTAAACAGCAATGAAATCTCGAGTAAAATGACAAAATAAATTCCAAATCCCAGGCTACCGTCCATTCGATGCATAATAGCGTTGATCATATTGCTTCATTTGCCTGTACCCCTCGCTGTAGATGGGAGGCGTACCCTGGGGACCCTGTTTTGTATTTCCCTGATTGTATCCATGTTGCGTGTCTTGGTATTCTTGTTGATACTGAGGTTGTTGGTACTGCTCGTGATGGTGACAGTTGCAATGATGGTTTTTATTCTCCCTGGATTTCTTCTTTTCTTGGTATTCGTTGGCAGCCCTAATAATTAGCATCTTCTTGAGGATTATCCTAGATGACACACATACTTGGACCCAGCGCGGAGGAGACCATAAGCGCCGACAAGTTGAATTCCCGTTTTGATAAGGCCCATGTTGCTGAAAAAAAAAAGCAAGGCAAGAGTCGATTAATGTTTGATTGAATTGATGTCAGTTTGAACACCAGAAGACAAGTGATGCGAAGACATCATCCATATATATATCCTCCCGCCGATCCCTTCCATCCCTCCCGACCCACTAACCCTACAAACACGAGGATCCGAACCCGAGCCCAACTGCGCCACGCCATCACAGCCTTACGCTAGTGATACCCTGCCTGAAGCCGATTCATTAAGCATGACCCGCCCCGTACCTCCGTAGCATCCACTTTACCCTTTTGACACCATCAACCCGAATCCGAACCACAGCAGGATGCCCCCCCCGACTCAACCACCGCAAATCCACCCGTGGCTGTCGACGGTGCAAAGCTCGGAAAGTGAAGGTACCCCTCCTTACCCATCATCCAATTATCAAATTGAGTGCAGCTAAGAAGTGTAGTGCAACGAACAACGTCCCCAATGCACGCACTGCGCACGGCATAATCTCCCCTGCGAATATCCACCGCTTCAACCACGCATGTATACATACCCGGGCAGAACCACCACCACCGTCCAATCCCAACCCCCTCTTAGTACATTCCCCTCCCCACAGACATCCAATCTCCAACCACCCCACCTATCCCCCTTCCCCACAACCTCCCTCCGTCTCCTGCAGCAATACATCACCCGCAAGGCCCAAACAATGGGCACCGCGCAGATCCCCTCCGTGCGGGAAATGTGGGAACTCTCTGTCCCCGAAATGGCGTTCGAGTATCCCCTGCTGCTGAATACGCTGCTTGCTGTTGCGGCGGCGCATCGCCTCGCTCAAGTTCCTGGGGAAAGGGATGTGTTGAGGGGGGTTATGGGGGGGGTTATTGGGGGGTTGGTGGATG